AAGTAAAGTAAAGAAGTAAAGTAAAGTAAAAAGTAAAGTAAAGTAAAGTAAAGAGTAAAGTAAAAAGTAAAGTAAAAGTAAAAGTAAAGTAAAGTAGTAAAAGTAAAGTAAAGTAAAGTAAAGTAAAAGGCAAAGCAATAAAACAAATCAAAAAAATGAAGTAATAAAACAAAGAATCAATTTCAGGAAAAACTAAGCTTTGGAAAAAAAAAGCAGAAAGGTTGTGTCTTGTATTTCTGTTTGCATCAATGCTCTAGGTCAGGGGTGGACTTCAACTCCCAGGAGAGACGGGCCAGCCACTTGCCTGAAACGGTGTAGGGCCGTGATGGGGGGACCTGTGGCACGCAGAGCCATTTGTGTGCGAGCACGCGAGCCCCAGCCAAACTTACCTGCACTGCGCATGCGTGCGCCTCCCAGCCTCCTTTTTTGCCCTCCTGGGGGCTCGAGAGAGAAGCCTCTGCAGCCTTTGGCGGCTGAAAAATAAGCCCGTTTCGGCACTTCCGGAAATACCACAAGTGCCCAAAATGGAAGTGCTGAAACGGGCTCGTGTTTCGGCCTCCAAAGGCTGCAGAGGCTTCTCTCTCGAGCCCCCAGGAGGGGGGAAATGGCCTCCCTTGGGCTCCAGAGGCCCGCCGGAGGCTGAAAACTGGCCCTTCCGGTATTTCCGGAAGGCCCATTTCTCGGCCTCCCGACGCTGCAGAAGCTTCCCTCCAGCCTCCGGGAAGGTGAAAAAAAAGGCCTCAAAAAGGGCCGAAAATCAGCCGGGAGATGCGCGCATGCGCGGTGCAGGTTAAGGTGGGGGCTTGCACGCCCATGTGCAGGGGGAGAGGCCCATTGCATTGTGGGTGCTGGCAAGGCACTATCAAGCGTGCACGCTTGCTTTCGGCACCCCGCAACAAAAAGGTTTGCCATCCCTGGTCTAGGGCCTCTTGCTTGAGGCAGGGGGTTGGACTAGAAGACCTCCGAAAGTCCCTTCCGGCTCTGGGCCGATTGATTCTACTTTTTTTTTTTCAGTTGCCGTTGTAACTTTGGAGACTTTCTAAGTCGAGGGACTTCTCTGGATGCGACTTTTTGCTCCTGAAGGAAAGGCTAACGAATAAAACATCGGCCGTAGGGGGGGCATTGGTCTGGATAAATTCTTATTCTTATTCTCAGCCTCTTTTGAAAAAATAAAGCAGCGCTTTGCTTCCATCGAACAGCAGAAGGTCTGCGTCGCACAGACTTAAGCGAGAGCTTCCCTTGATAGTACAGGATTTCAAAAGAGGCCGGGAATGTCAATCAATCAAACGAGACAAGAGAAATAGGCACAGCGGAGGTTTGGATACCTTCAGGTGGCGAGACCGCCTGTCAGTCACTCGCCAAATCTCTGTGCATTGGAAGAGACAATGAACGCCTGCGTCACACCAAAGGCACCAACGCAGGTCAAATTTAGGATCTCCGGTGAAATTTAGACTGACATTTATAATCTATCTGTCTATATAAAAGCAAAATGCCCCTCACGCATCATCACAAAATCTCCAGAACCGTAAAGCCTACAAACTTGAAAATTGGCACATAGGTTCTTCTCGGCTTCTCGGGGCTCACTAAGAAAGGATGTTTCGAAATGACCCTCAGAGCATTTATAGTATTTCCTGTATTATTATTATTATTATTATTATTATTATTATTATTATTATTATTATTATTAACATGCTCTGATGCTAAGGAGTTCTACTCCCCCTCCCCACCTGAAAATAAATCTCTTCCAAATGCAAAACACAAGCAGAGGAGTTTCATTTTCACAGCAGCACCAAGCAGCTTTAGTACAGAACAGTTGAGCTAAGCCACGCCCAGGCTCCTTGCTGTCTCCTTGCGCACACAACAAATACTGCTTCAGTTTCCAAACAGCCCTCAACTCTCTCACACACTGACAGGATGCTAGCCAGATGGATACCCATGGAGGCTGGTAGGCAGAGGCAGAATTTTTTTCCCCCTTATTTTCCTCCCCCAAAACGAAGCCCAACCACATAGTTTCGCAGTGAAGCAGCTAGTATACAATATAGGTTGGTTCACCAGTGGGGGGGAATACCGGTAGTCCTCAACTTAAGACCACAATTGAGACCCGAATTTCTGCTGCTAAGGGAGACAGCGGGTGAATTTTTGCCCCATTTTACCGACTTCTCTTGCCATGCATGTTAGGTCAACCCGGTTGTTAAGTGAATCTGGCTTTCCCCCATCGACTTTGCTCGTCCCCAAAAGGGGGATTGCAACCGTCGTAACTAGGAGTCGGTTGCTAAGCGCCTGGATTTTGAGCATGTGGCTACGGAGGGGCTGCAACGGTCGTAAAGTGTGAAAAACAGGCGTTAAGTCAGTCCTTTTTATTCAGGGCCATTGTTAAGTTCAATCGGTCACACAATGAATGGTTGTAAGCCGAGGATTACCTGTCATTCAAATATTCATCGGTTATACAATTCATTACTTTAAGAGCCTCAAGATCCAGGGATGGCGAATTTTTTTTATTGTGGTGTGCCAAAAGTGTGAGTGTGCCGGCACCCACAATGCAATGCGCCCCGCCCCCCCTGCGCAACACCCCTGCCCCGTCCCCTTACCTGCACTGCGCATGCGTGTGCCTCCCAGCTGATCTAGGGCCCTTGTGAGGCTGTTTTCACCCTCTGGAGGCTCGAGGGAAGCCTCTGCAGCCTTTGGAGGCTGAAAAATGGGCCTTCCAGAAATACCAGAAGTGCTTGTTTTCAGCCTCCGGACAACAGATAACCGATAATTAGAGTTGGAAGGGACCTTATAGGTCATCTAGTCCAACCCCCTGCCCAAGCAGGAGACCCTACACCATTTCTGACAGATGGCAGTCCAGTCTCTTCTTGAAAGCCTCCACAACTTCTGAAGGCAACTTCTGTTCCATGGGTTGATTGTTCTCCCAGTCAGAAAGTTTCTCCTTATTTCCAGGTTAAATCTCTCCTTGATCAGTTTCCATCCATTATTCCTTGTCTGGCCTTTGGGTGCTTTGGAAAATAGCTTGACCCCTTCCTCCTCCTCTCTGTGGCATCCCCTCAAATATTGGAAGATGCTCTCCTGTCTCCCCTGGTCCTTCTCTTCCCTAGACTAGCCAGGCCCAATTCCTGCAACCGTCCATTGTATGTTTTAGTCTCCAATCCCTTAATCATCCTGGTTGATCTTCTCTGCACTTTTTCTAGAGTCTCAACGTCTTTATTATAGTGTGGTGACCAAAACTGGATGCAGTACTCTAGGTGTGGCCTTACTAAGGCTTTATAGAGTGGTATTAGTACCTCCCTTGATCTCAATTGTATCCCTCTTGCAACTTAGGATTGCATTGGCTTTTTTGCCTGCCGCTGCACACGGCTGGCTCCTCTTTAGCTGGTTGTCCACTAAGACTCCAAGATCTCTCTCACAGTTCCTGCTATTGAGCCTGGTTTCCCCCAGTCTATATGTGGACTTTTAAGTGTAAGACTTTACTTTCCTCTACGTCGAATTTCTTTTTGTTCGATACGGCCCAGGGCCTCTGGAGCTCGTGGGAAGCTGTTTTCGCCCTCCTGGGGGCTCGAGGGAAGCCTCTGAAGCCGCGGAAGGCCGAAAAACGGGCCCTTTTCGTCACTTCCGGTATTTCCCAAAGGCCTGTTTTTTGGCCTCCCGAGGCTGCAGAGGCTTCCCTCGAGCCTCTGAGGGTGAAAATGGCCTCCAATGGGTCAAAAACCAGCTGGGAGACGCATGCATGCGCAGGTAAGTTTGACTGGGGCTTGCGTGGCCGCACAAATGGCTCTGCGGGGCACCTGTGGTATGCATGCCATAGGTTCGCCATCACCGCCCTAAAGACCTTTTGATAGGCTGCCTTAACCAAACTAGAATCCAATTTAGAGTTACAGGTAGTTCTTGAGTTACGACAGTTCGTTTAGTGACCACTGGAAATTACAACGACACTGAAAAAGGGACTTACAACCATTGCTCACACTTACGACCGTTGCAGCATCCCCCACGGTCACATCATCAAAATTCGGGCACTTGGCAGCTGATTCGTATTTACGATGGTCACAGTGTGTCCCGTGATCCTCTTTTGCGACCGTCGGACAAGCACCTAAGCTGGATTTGCTCAACAACTGTGTGACAAATGTAACAACTGCAGTGACTCGCTTAACAACAGGGGCAAGGAAGGTCGCAAAAGGGAGCAAAATACACTTGTTTCGCTTAGCAGGGGAGATTCCGGGCTCCATTGTGGTCGTAAACTGAGGACTACCTCTAGTAGTAAAATCAAACTGCGCAGCTGGGAATCTACCCTGTTGGCTTCCTTACTTTCTCAGATGTCTTTTAAGCTGAGGGGCTTTGTGATAAAATTACAACTCAACAAATTCTCGAGGGGGGAAAACAGACACCGTTTATTCTGCAAATGTTGGCATCGCAAACGCAAGCATGAAACGTGATAAAGTCTTTCAACGCAATCAAAGAAAATAAATATAGATTTCTGGATGCTGGAAGCCCTTAAATCTTCTTCTCAATGTTATATTGACTCTGCAGATTCTAAGTATGCCGTAACTTTTGTTTTTCTCTACAATAAATACAAAAAATAAAAAAAATCACTTATCCACTACTTCAGGTTTACCTAAGAAGCCTTTAACTATTAGGAGGAAGGGGGGGGGGAAAGCCCGCTTGGGCGGAGTCTTTAGGAACTTACCTTGACCTTTGGCCTGTATTTCAGGTAAAGCGTCCGGGAATATAAACTAGAATCAGAAGAAGAAAAGGGAGAAAAGAAGATTAAAAGAAACATTTTGGATAAATCAGTTTGAGTCAACACCACTGCCTGGTCTCCTCTGGAACTCAACTCCCCCCTCTGAGACCAGATATGAGGCTGTGATCCTTCCTTCCTTCCTTCTTTCCTTCCTTCCCTATAGTCTGTCCATCCATCCTTCTCCCTTCCTTCCTCGCTAATATCTGTCCATTTATCCATCTGTCCGTCCAACCATCCACCCTTCTT